ACATAACATCACGCCTTTAACCCGAAGGGGTAGGCAGAGGTGCACATTATGCCACTGTACAATGCACACAACATACATATAATTGAACACCCACTTTTCACTATTTATGTTATGAGTCCCATGTAATAGAGGGTGAGCCTATTGCCATATACCATGCACAATTCCAGACTCCGTGCTACTACTGAGAATTTTTTAAAACGAACCCGAGGCCCTTTGCCCAGCAGTCGCACTTACGACCACTCGGCCAATGAGGTAGTATTTTATTGCATTCTACGTCAAATACGTCAAGTTAATGTGTAAGTCAAATGACTTAGGTGGTAACATAGTATAATTTAGATCATTGGAGACCCTGTCGGGCATAGCAAGGAGATAAATAATTTTGATGCAAAAAAAATATCAAACTATAGTTAACAAAAGCCTTAGCGTGGTTGTCCCGAGTTTTAACCTGTGAAACATGATTTAAATATACTACAATATAAATTAATATTTTTTATATTATTCACAAAATTAACATGAGATCCCTAACTACACACAGCAGCGGCAGTTAGTAAAACATTGACCCCTAATGAAAGTGTTAACCGCAGGGAAATATTTTAACTGAAGAGGTTAAAGTCCCTAGTGGTTCAACATTGGTTGCCATGGCAACCTGTCGTATTCATGTAACCGGCGAAGCTTTCATAATTTCCATGAAAATTAATTTTCAAAATGGTTTTTACCATTCGAAATTAAATTGTTCATAATCATAAGTCTCTATGGTCGATAGAATGATTATTTATTTTGGTTTTTAAACTGCAATAGGGTAAATGCCTAATTTTTATTTTAATGTCCGTCTGGTAGATTATATTAAATCATTAAACACGCATTTATTATTTTCTTACAGATACGAATACTTTCGACGATATACTGATTTGAAATGTCGCGTGACGTCACTTCTATGCACATTTTATACGTTTTAGCCCCACTCCTAAACTTTGATTCGTTTTATCTAAGTATTATTTTATTATAGGTACCTACAACAAAATAAAAAAATACGTGTCTAATATTTTTCATTACCTAACTTACGGACTAAATTGATTTTTAATTTTCATACTGCGTCATCATCCCAATTACGTACCGAATTGATTGTAAAACAAAATAAGTTTTTTTTTAATTATCTGCATTGTTGTGTATGGTAAAAAAGCTGTGCCATAGTCCATACAGACCATACGGTGGCATTAAGTGCTGTAATGTACACCTCTCTCTACCCCTTCGGGGATAAAAGGCGTGTGTTATGTTAGTCCATACAATCGCGATCGATTTGATTGTACCTGACAATGTAATAATGTGCTTTCTTTCAGTTAGGTACTGCACAGCATATAACGCAATGGGGCGTTAATAGGGATGGTGACAGGGTATGAAAATTAAAATTGTAATTAGTCCGTCAGTTAGGTAACGAAAAAATTTAGACACGTATTTTCTTATTTTTCGTATAAGAAAACAATACTTAAATAAACTGATTTAATCTACATATATCTGTGGAGTCAAAGTTTAGAAGTGGGAGCTAACTACGTCACTTTTGAGTATCAAATCACTATATCGTCGAAAGTCGGTATCCGTAAAAAATTAAAAAAGTGTTTAATGATTTTAAATAATCTACCAGACAGACATTAAAATAAAAATTAGTCATCTACCCTATTATGACAAACTCTCTTATATAGAAGCGATCTGAACTATAGTCCAGCCACGAACAGATTGTTGATGATAAATGCAAGAGAATAATTTATATGGGCGTGGAAATATGGTAGGTCTAATACCTTCTGTGGGAACATAAAGTCAAAGTCAAAGTCAAAATCATTTATTTCAATTAGACCAGGATGGCACTTTTGAACGTCAAACAACAAAAAATTATAAGTGAAGCTAGTTGCTCATTCCAAGGCGTAGATTCCTATGGAGAAGAACGAGCAAGAAACTCCATAGGTTACTCTTTTTCAATCAGGTTTACAATACAATTCTCTAGTTACATAGTTTTATTGGTTCGATTATGTGAGAACAATGCAACACCTAAATCCAGTCAGAAAGACTGAAAAAGAAAATAACCTTGAGGATAATAAAATAAAATGATACAGTCTGGAGCTGACCAGTTCCAATCGACGGTGCCTGTTCACGAACATTTGGCGAAACCTAGCACCGCCCTATTATAGACCCAATATATATACTATTATAGACCCAATTAACATAAGACTTTTTTTATCGTTTCGCCTTTTAATCCTGGAAGGATAGGCAGAAGCACAAACACAGTACGCAGCCACATTCATTAGTTATTTTATTATATAGTCACATATAACAGAGGGTGTACCTATTGCCTTGTACCGGGTACAATTCCAGATTTCAAACTGAGAAAACATCTTAATAATATTTCGTGCGCCCCGGGAATCGAACCCGGGAACCCTTACTCCGTAGTTACACTTGCGATCACTCGACCAACAAGGCAATACCTACTCGTTATGAATTAATTCTGTCTACAATAATATGGTATAGTTAAAAAACTTGCTTACAAATTACAGTTGAATCGATATTACCAGCATTGGATACTTTGGAATACAATGGGCCCTTCTGAGAATCGATTTTGACCATTGCAGGAACAAAAAGCTTTCAATGCCCCCCTACTAATGGTACGTGAATCGAAATGTTTTGCTACTTTAGTAGTAGGTAGATACTTAAATATTAGTAGGTTCTTGATCACTGCTAATCGGTTATATTTTTTATGCTATAAAAACTTTTTAGATACCTACAGCCTTTGAAACTCGAATAGTCTATACGCATAACCAATTACTGAAGGGTTCATATTCCTTATAATTACACATTTTTATAATTTACTTGCCTACAATTTCTTATCGCAATCAATCATACGCTAGTCTGCTACAAAAACGAAGTCTAATAGGTAACTAACCCCTAAAATAATCTTAGACTTAAGACCAATAACCGATCGCTAGTTTCAACCGATTAACAATGATCTCTATCAGTGCTTTACGACGTCAAATTTGAGGGTCGAAGTAATTTGGGGGTGTTCCTAATGCGTGACTACATCCCTTCGCACCACCCAACTCTTGGGCTACTAAAATACAAAACGGGTCGAGGCTTGTCGCATTCAGCCAGCGAGGCCGGACGCGAGCGAACGACCGTGTCGCTATTTAAAAAAGTTGAATTTCAAATTCGGAACTCCCGCTCTTTTGTTTGTCATTGCATTTTGTTGGTTTAGATTGCGAGATTCAAATATTTTTGTGATATTCTGTGTTAGTTTTGAAATATAATAAAATAAAATCAAAATGGAGGGCTGCGGGATGAATTGTATAAAATATTTGCTGGTGGTCTTCAATGGAATATTTCTGGTGAGTTAATTTTTTCGCATTATTTTTTAGCTATTGTCGCCATTTTTAAAGGTTCGTTCGTTAGTTAATTCTTTAGTGTTTGCGACCGCAAACAGTTGTTTCGCGCGTCTATTTTAATGAATGGTTATTTTTGTCACCGTGCCGCTTGTTGTTTTCGCGCCGGTGCAGTTAACAACTTAATTTACGAAGAAACAATTCTCACGATTCACAAAAATCTTATTTATTACAAAAAATGTTTCATGTACAACATATTTACTAATCGTTCCTGTATTAATACCGTGTCATCATCGCGGGAGATTCAAATCTCGGTCATGTTATTTTTAAACGACAACAAAAATATTATTTTCGGAATGAATTTCACAGTGATGGCGACTCTCAAGGGTAATTCTGAGATTGTACACATTGCGGCGTTCATAGTACTTAGCCATGTGAATCATGGCTGGTGTAATTTCAATATTATGGTGACGGTTAATTACTCATAATTAATTAAAATTTTCACAACGTACATACATACTGAAAATTTCAAAGAATTTACGTGTTTAATAAAAATTAAATTTGATATGTTGTATGTACCTAAAACTAGTAGGTAATTTAGAATTTTCAATTTTTATTGTTACAATTTGAATGAATAGTCGAAATATATGCATGCAGCATGACGTACTTACTTAATGTATTAGGTACGCATATAACTTCAAAACGACTGCGCAAAATTGGATATTTCTTGTGTCGTGTCGTGTGGTTTGTAGAAAAACCAGGTAGGCATATACCTAACAATCAGGTAAGATTGTAGATCAGCAACAATACGAAACAAGGGCAACTGATTAAATAGAACAAAATAAACTTCTAAGTAGAGTACCCCACTTTACTTCAGCTGGCGTAGATTTAGATAATATGTATTATAGATTAATTTCGTGTATGTACGCACTTTGTGTATCTAGAATTCGCTTTAAATACACCTAACAACACAATTCCCTTACCAAATGATTTTTGCATTAAATTTTTCTTACTATTAATGGATGTAATATAAAGAGACAACACAGACCTATCTGTTTAAGGTCAATCAAGGCCCACAGAGCTACTTAAATGGCCTGTGCCGGCTTAACGAGTACGTAAAGGCCTGTACTGTTTTCATTAGTATAATGGACGTTTTTTAAAGTACTTATTGCATGTAGTAGTCAAAGTCAAAGTCAAAGCATTTATTTCAAATATACCATAGTTTGGTACTTTGTACTTTTGAAACGGTAGCTATTTAGGTTACTAAAAACACGTCATGAAACATAAATCATTGGGTTTCGGTGTTCATAACTCTCTGAGAGTAGATTTTGCAAAGTCACAGTCAAGAACTAATTTAAATGATTGCCTTATTTTTGTATTATAACTATCGTAAGACATACATACTGAATTAATTAAGCTATGTTTTTCAGCTTGTTTAACGAGGTACTTGATAAGAGTCACTGGTGTGGCTTTAAACTAGTCGATTGCCTCATCAAACAGTTACCTACATGAGTAAACCGAAAAACATATTAATTAATGATTGTTGTGTTTTCAATTATGAATTTTGTATGCTTTGTACTACATAAATAACTGATAACTACTTTGATAAAATTTGTTAAAATTAATAAATAAACATACCCATTTTATGCAAAACACACTTTGCAAATTATAATTTAACTGTTTTTAACATTGTATTACAATTATAACACAAACACACACACGGAACATATTTTTCAATAAACCAATCAATTTTAAACACAGAGCTTTCGCTTCAATATACATAGCATAGTTCCTAGCAACCGAATGAATGATAAATTTCAACCATTTTACTTTTAACTCAAGCCCCCTTTCATGTCTTCCCTTAAAGACGTCATTGATGATGTCTTATTTAAGGTATTTCCATAAATAATTTGTAATATCATTCGTTATGACGTCATATAGGCACAGGAAATTAAACCGTAAGATGACATACTATGTATTATATTTACGTAAATCTATTTACTAGAGGAAGGTATTTTAGAATGTATTTTTTTCCTTCAAGTGACGTTTGTGACGTCATTACCGCCTTATTGGTCCTGTGGTCGCAGGACAGCCAAAAGTTCCAAATAATGACTATCTGGTTTTATTCCCGGAAAATATTTACTTACTAAGAGTAAAATGTGACCGATCTACGTAATGTGATTTTAGTGACGTCACATTCTAGGACAAACCAGCAGGATTGAATTTTAACTCGTCGAGTACCGGTTTTGTAGACACAATTATAGAACAATAGGTTGCGGTCACCGGTGACCGCTTGGTGTTTGACAGTTTAATTAGTCTTTAATACAATAATATACAATCGCCAACCCACATTGAGCAAGCGTGGTGATTAATGCTCAATCTTCCGTGTGAGAAGAGGATTTGCTCAGCAATGGGCATTTATAGGCTGTTGATGATGACGATGATGATGACAATAAAATAATTTTAATAAAATTATTGATTAATTGAGAAGAGCTGAAGACCGAGCTTAGTGGCGTACCATTGGAGAGGCCATATCCAGAAGTGGACGAATACGGGCTGACGATGATGAAGAAAGACTTAGCATCTAAGATCCGAATACTGAAACGCTACACAATTACTGTCACTTTAAATCCTTTGCATAATGATAGAGATGGCACGATATTTAAGTACAATTTAAAGTTAAGTAGTCTTTCAGTATTGGCGCGTAAGTGAACCCTAATTTAACAAACCTAACAATACCAACAAATCGACTTATCGAGAGCAAGATTCTTAATTTTTATTACATAACTGTGAATTTTAACTAAACTAGATCGATGATTAACATAACTTTGAAGGCGAATTATTATGTTTTCGGCTTACTCACGTAAAAGTTTGACTAGGAACTAGACTAGTTTCAAGCCATGCTAGAGGGTCATATTCATGAGCAGCATTCCGCGACCCGCGACGCGGTGACTGTCGCGCTGCTGACGCTCCAACCCCAGCCTCAAAAAGTTACGCTAGTAAGCCGAAAACATACTAAGACCTAAGAAAAATTATAATAAATTAATTGAACTCACTCTTTCACAAATGAAAATAGTTAATTTTTATGGTAGTTTTTCGCAATATGCAACTTAGTTCTTACTATACTTAATCTGCAATAGACAAATGATCAGGTGTATCTTCGAACCACCTGTTCAGGCATGCAAGTTGGTTGTCGAATGACCTTTTAGAAGAACATCAATACTTTATAAGTCTTGTGTCTGTCCGTCTAGGGCAAATAATAAATAACTCGACGTAGGATACTTATAACTACTATGTTTGTCTAGATTAGGTGCTAAGCAGGGGTCTGAAATATCAGTATTGAAAGAAGTTTGAGATTGGGTACTTGACAATTAGTCAAATTCAATACTTTTTTCGAACCGTCAAATACGACAGTTTTCTATGAATTTTGTACGAGATTATGTATTGTGACGTCACGTTTTTTTAGCGTCAAACAACATAATTATTACTTAAAAATTTGCTGGAAATACTTATATTGAAATTAAGTTGATCATGAAACCAATTAATGAAAGTTTAATTATTTTTTAATAGTTTATTATGTCGAAATAATTTATTTTTTGTTGAGGAAAGTACCCAATTGTGTTTGCTATTTAGTACCTACTTTCTGCCTACCTACTAATGACGTGACACTCGTGTTCGTGTGATACATAATTAGTTACAGTTAAATCCGGAATTAGTTTATTTCCTTGTTGAAAATACTACCTGATGTCCTCAATACAACGAACTTTATAGGTTTATTAAATATTCAATCGTCTTGATTTTAGCGTCTACTTATTTAAACCTTTTTTATATAACGGAGGAAACCTTCAAAGCACGCCTTTAGGAAAACTACTATTTAATACAGTCTGGAGTAGATCCGAGTTATAATTTAATATAACCTGCAGCTCTAGGCAAATGCCATTTAGCGCTTGTCTAGATGTAGAATAGAAAACCAAATTATATGAAATTGACGTAAATTTTGACACTTGTCAGTGTCATCCCCATACATTTAGTTTTCTACACTCTCTGTAGACAAGCGCTAAAGTGGCGTTTGGCTAAAGGCACTGAGTAGACAACCTAACCTTAGCTCATGCAAGTTCAAGATCATTATGAGTCATACTTTAGTCATCATGCAATGACTGCAATATCATTTTTCTATTTTAAATGATGATTTCTTTACGTCATCTTGTAATTACTTCCTTTATGACCATTGACCATGTCTATTATTTATTGGTGCAAATGACGAGCTCTAAATGGTCGTGGTTATTGACGTGCCCACTTTACAATCATACCTAAAGTGTTTGTTAGGGGACCCTCGAAATTAGCAAAGTGGGAACTACCAATACCTATGTTAATGAAAAAGTATTTGAAGTTTTCGCTTAAATTTTAAGTTGTGAATGTCAAAGTTGCCGTTGAAATTATTTTTCATCGAAAATCCCGATAAGACTTTCTATATTATCCTTCTAACACATTTTTTTCCGGTCTCGGCCAATGGGTTCTGATATTTTTTTTTTCGTTTTTAAATGTTATCTGGCACTGGTCTTTAAAATGTTTTCGTCGAAATATAGTGCTCAAAGCGCCGAATTCAGTCGAGCGTCGACATTTGAATCAGTCAAGCATTGAAAAGCCGGTTGAAGTAGCCGAAGGATATATAAATTACCGTCACGCTTATCTTCCTGACATATGGAGAGTAATGAGTAAAACAAGAGCTTCTTATATTTGGTACAATAATATTGGTATTTAACACCATGTGTTGTAGTGTTAACCAAGTCATTGTTATTATACACTTTTTTTTTAAGGGGGGAAAATCATCGAATGACTGCTCCCACCTGGGTGAGGCGGGAGGGAGTGTCAGACTCTTACTGACTAAAAACAACCCCGTTCCTTCTCCTGCACGTCGAGCCGGAGCCCCGGTTACCCGTTAGGTTCTCCGCGACGTTATTATGTACACTAGCTGTCTCCCGCGACTTAGTCTGCGCAGACAGAGATGTGAATTATTTGAGATACAAGTATCTGAAATACAGATATGAGATACAAAATACGTATTTAGATCTTTACTTTTTTTAAATTCCATTTTATATCTTACATTTAGATTTCCACTTTTCATTATTTATGTGATGAGTCCCGTGTTATAAGTAGGAATAAGATTTTATATTAACGTAATTCATTTTTATGAATAAAATTTCAATTGACCATGGAAAAGCACTTTTTAATTTAAACTCTATCCACATATTACAATTAGATTCCCGTCTAAAACCATCGCATCGTATGAAGGACGTAGTAGCGACGTAGCGTTTTTGTTATACGATCTAAACAAACGGACAAAAGCCGTCTGCTATAGGGTTGTCGATGACATTACATTTGTGTGTAGAATAATTTTTAATAAGTTACGTTTTTACGACTGCCTCGTTGGCTAAATGGTCGCAAGTGCGACTCCCGGGCAAGGGGGCTCGGGTTCGATTCCCGAATCGAGAACAGTATTACTGGGTCTTTAAAAAAAATCTCAGTAGTAGTACGTAGTTTGGAATTGTGCCCGGTACATAGCAATAGGCTCACCCCCTACTACATGGGACTCATAACATAAATACTGAAAAGTGAGTGATACCTACATTGTACAGTGGCATTAAGTGCCGTAATGTTCACCTCTGCCTATCTATTTGAGGATAAAAGGCGTGATATTATGTTATGTAAGTTACATTTAAAACTTTAACATCCTTTTTCGGTTCTTCATCACTTACATTAAGAGCTAAATAACAAGAATTTGATATAAAATGACCTTAATAAATAAAAACCAATCAACCTTCACATACCTACCTCGAAGAAATGTATGAAAACTTTACTTTTGTAGGTTATTAACATAGTAAAAGTGTTTTATTATATACTAGCGACCCGCCCCGGCTTCGCACGGGAGCAATATGTATATACATACAAACCTTCCTTAAGAATCACTCTATCTATTAAAAAAAACCGCATCAAAATCCGTTGCGTAGTTTTAAAGATCTAAGCATACATACGGACATACAGCGAAAGCGACTTTGTTTTATACTATGTATTGATTGACAATAATACATATACACTAATCAGTCTTACTAACCTCATTCCAACATAATATAATATCTCGCCTTTTTATCCCCGAAGGCAGAAGTGCGCTTCAATTAATCCTAAGTCAGCACTGTCGAATTAATGCTTTTCCTTTCGTATTGTCTCTCTTTTGCTTTTGAAACGTGAAAATTGAATTGTCCGTTTGTCTATCAGTGCAGACATTCGTTCCAAAGTGTCTCTTTCCATATCTCAAAATATTTATGATACCTAACCTAGTCCTAGTCAGTGCTCTCAAAGAGCCATCAGACCACCACGGATGGGGCCCAACGGGGCTGATACGGTTCGGAGCTGCGGAAAACTTAACAGGTGATCGGGGCTCCGGCTCGTAGTGTAAGAGTAGGAACGGGGTGGTTTTTAGTCAGTAAGAGTCTGACACTCCCTTCCGCCTCATCTAGACGTCAGCGTAGGAGATAGTGTCAGACTCTAAAAAAGCCTAGTCAGTGGTCATCTCAGCCTCAGAACACTACTAAGTATATTTAAAATTATAGCAAAAACAAAACGTGTCGTATCTAAGTATTTCTTATACAGATCTGTGAAAA